TAAAATTTGTATAAAAGGCCCAATTCCCCGCTCACTCGCATCACGTGATTGAGGTAATATCCTTATTCCTGTGTTCAAGAAGTATTCCATAAATAATTCATCCACAGGTTTAAATAGAGTTTGTATTATGGTTCGTATTGCTTTCAATAACTTTTCAGAATCGTCATTTGAACAAGTGTTCAAATTAGAGATTTTAAGCATGATTCTGTCTAGTTTACTTGTATCATCTAGATACGTATTATCATTAGATTTGCCTAAATAATTAGTGAAAGAATTTAATAAAATTGAATAACTAAATCTATTAAATATTTACGAATATGAATACGGTCCAAGTAATAATGAATTCAATGAATAATTTATCATTGAATGTGCGATTCACTGAATTATACATACCAACGTTTCCTTTTTCCGGTGAGTCTTTAAACTTGTCCAGTTCTGGACGCATATCTGGAGAAGCTTTCATGTCCAAATTCGAAATACTAAGCGCAATTTCTTCAGATTTGATTGTATCATCCAGGTACGTACTATCATTAGATTTTCCTAAATAATTAAATGGTGAAGAAATTTAATAAGGTTGAGAAATTAAATCTATCAAAAATATAATGCGCAAACATATTCGGTCCAGGTAATATTGAAACTAATAATTTAATTATACCGATAGCTTCGTTTTCTGATATATCCTTAAGCTTTATTGAAACTTCATCCATTTCTGGACGCATGTCCGGAGAAGAATCCCAACATATTTGGTAAAGTTGAAGATATGAGTCTGGTGTACCTTCAATAGGTTCTTCTCTTTCTCCATTTAGTATACGAAAACAAAGGGCTATTTCGCAAAAACGAATGTTACTACTATTTTTAAATGAATGAAATGGCGGTCGGCCACTTGATATTTCCCAAAGAATTACTCCAAAGCTATAGATATCGGATTTCTTGTTACGTTTATATGATTTTTTTTCGAAATTTTGAGGGTCAAAACATTGAGGGTCAATGTATTTAACCATTCCATGAAAGGTAGAATTTGAGGACCTTGAAGACCTTGATGTCTCGTCTTTTGATAAGCCAAAATCTGCAATCATCATTTTTCCTTCATGAACTAGAATATTTTTGGAATGCTATAACAAAGTTATTTACAAATTTTGAATAGCATATGGTTCTCTTTATCTAATTGGATAATTTATAAAAATTGTTTTATGAATAGATTAATACTTACAAGATCTCTATGAATAATATTATTTCGATGTAGGTATACAAGACCGTCAGAAATTTCACGAGCTATTCGCAAATTGTCAGCCCATTTAAACTTTGAATAATTATTTTTTAAATATTCGCGCAAATTTCCATTATTTGCAAATTGTAAAACAATATTATAGAATCCATTTGAACGATCACGATCTATTATGAATAAGTATTTTTTAAAAAATTATTAATTTTATGTGCTACACATACCATTTAATTATAATTTACTAACCTCGAGTGACACCATAAAATTCAACAATATTTGGATGCTTGCAGACTTTTTGTAAGTTCTTAAGCTGAATGTATAGTGTTTAATCACAC